TTAAATATTAATTACAAATTTTTTCATTATTGTTTCCTAGTTAACAAATTCGTTGTAGTTAAACAGAGATGTAAACCATATGTGAATTCGACAAAGTCCCAAATTTTGTTCCAAATGAAAATGTTCCAAACTGGTCCAGCTTTCAAACATAAAGTTTTTAATAGTCTAGTCAATTGAGGTAAAGTCAACAAGTTCCACCAATTTTCAATAATACCTGAAAATGAATTTCGTAAAAAAAGCTTCATACATAATAATAATTAGATAATTTGCGGGAGGAATGAAATATAATATTACTTGCGTTTATTACATATAATATGCAAAAGCTCCTGGCAGACTTGGGAAATTGTTCGTTGCAGATAAACAGACATGTAAACCATACGTGAAATTTGACAAAGTTCCAAATTTTGTTCCAAACATCTTTTCGTAAATTCCATTTGAGAAAAATCTTCTTGACGCTTTCAGGATGGATTCATTAATAAGCGGTTTACTTTACCACAAGGAAACCTCGACAAGAAATGCATCATGAAACTTATCTTTAAATTACAAGTTACATAATAATATACGTACAAGGTCGAAAGACAAGTTGGAATTGTTGTCCAACCAAAACGTTGTATATAAAATTTCCTGCGATGATTGTGAGGCGAGCTACGTTGCTCAAACCAAAAGAAAATTGTGTACGAGATTACATGAACATAAATCGGATATTAGAAGGAATATTGGTTCTCCTACTGTCATAACCAATCATCGTATCAATTTAGACCACAATTTTAATGGGATGATGTGAGAATTTTAGATTGCAAGTCTTCTTATAATAAGAGAGTAGTATCTGAAATGATTCACATTAAAAGACAGAAACAAGGGCTAATTAAAATGAATGATACTGAATCATTACCTGATTCTTACTCTCAAATTATTCAATCTCTTTCTCCTTCTTAACTGTTTTCCTTCCTTTCTTACTCCTTTTCTTTCCTCTTTCATTTCTCCCTCTATTTCATTTTTCCCACTCTCATGTACCCTTTCCTTTTGTTTTACCATTTCAACCTTCTTACAATAGTTTGTCGTTTTTCATATTGTCTCTGAACATATTAGAGATATGACTGTTCCACTCTCATCGCATTGTCTGAAATTATAGAATTTTATATTATACTAACACACGATTTACAAAGTATATATTATCCGTTATTTTAATTGTTACAAAATTTTATTATATATATTTTACTTATTAACTAAATATCATATAATTTTTTATTATTACGATTGATTAATTTGTTTTTTTCTTATTAAATCTTAGAATACTTTTTTATTGTCAATTTTTAATTTTATTCTTTGTCTTATATATTATATTTTTATACTTTACGTTTTATTTTATATACTCAATATTATATGTTTAAAATATTTATGTTCTTTTTAACAGATACGAATTATTTTTATTTTACAACTGATAACCAAAAGCATATATTGTTACCTATTACAACGTTCGTTTTCATGGGATCCGGAAATCATTCAAATGTATTAAAATATGAAAAAAATTGAAAGAAAAAGGGAAATCAATGTTAAATACACAAAAATAGAACGGTAAAAATATTACAAAGTTAAAATTTATAAAAATTTATAAAATTTATATAACATTGATAATGATTCAACAGGGATCGAAACGTTTGTTTATGTTATATTGTTTATTGCCGGCGCGGCACATTAAAGTTTTATATTCTGACTAAATGACATATTTATACTGTGTTTTTTTTTAATTTCTATTTCTAACGACTAACTCTTAGGTTCGTAGCCCTTTTTCTTTCAATCTTAGGCTCGTAGCCCTTTTTCTCTCAATTTTTTTAATTTATTGAGCCTTATTACTATTATATTATAATAGAAAAGTACTTGGCGATTTTTATTTCTTCAATAATTTCTGTTTAAACTTTAGTCCCCATTAATTCAATTAATGCATTTTGGATAAACGGAGAGAAATAAAATGTACTTCCTTTTTTATGAGTGTCGATATGCATCCTAAATTTTGGATTATATTTTGCTATCATATTAACAGCACTTAAAAATATACCTGAACCTGGTTCACCTATTTTTTCATGAGATCCTCTTGAAGCTAAATTATTCTCAGCACAAAACATAACATCAATGTGGACTTTTAGGATATGTCGCCATTTTTCCTTTTCTTGGTCTATTGCCATTTGCAGGGAGGCATCATTAAAGACTTAGATTGTAAACCTTTTTCAAATGTTTTCCATTTAATATAGTTTTTACGGTGAAGTACTGAATTCTCATGATCAGGAATCCTAGGACTTAAATGTCGCCAATCGTTAAAACCTCGCGCTGGATTAGTAAGCGATGACGCGGAATTTGACGGCTGTAATGCATTAAAAATAATGCAAGGAAAACAAAATATTGCCTCCCTTTTTTTACTATAAATTAACCACGTTCGTTCTACAAATTGACCGTTAGCTAATTTCCTTCTAAACCATTCCTTACTAAACTTTCTGTTAGTAGTATCAGAAAGAGAAAATGTTGACCATTTTCCTTGATCAGGGCCTTGTTCTATAAGAAAATTTCGTATAGAATCATTTAGCGGGAACCATGACTGTGGATCATTTCTATCAAGGTCAGAGGCGGACGCATTATCTAATTGTAAAGCCTTGGAGATTTCTAGACTTTGGTCTTGCTGGTCTTGCAGAACAGAATCGACTAAATCTAAATCAGTTATGTCTAAAGATGCGATTTGATTCATTTGCTCGTCATGATGTGATGTGGTAGGTTCTGGTTCTTGACATATTTCAGTGACTATGTCGTAAATTTCTATATTATCTGCGTGAAAGTTGCTTGGACAATTTTGGGACAGATTAAGATTGGGTTTTGTCCAACTCATTAAAACTTTTGACATTTTTTTGTCCTCATTTTCTTTATCACGCTTCCTCTTTCGGAATTCAGACCCAGATGGGCCTTTAGGAGGCATTATAAAATAGCATAGACTACAATCTATCAAAATAGCACACCTAGGCTGCGTTCAGAAACTTCACCTTGCGGGTGATTGCTAGGAGTCTATGTGAGTGAAATGGTAGGGATAAAGTACCCTCTCTGGTGTGTACATTTCTGAACGGCCGGAGGAAAATGGCTGAGCGTAAAAAACAACCACTTGATATATGTACTAGCTAGTAAACTTTCTATTATATTATCTTAATTTCAGCGAAACATGTAAACATATACATGATATGACTAATTTAATTAATCATTTTGATACATATCGTACGGGAGTAGTACACCATTCTTTATGCATTGCCGAAATTAAGATAATTTAATAGACACTTACTAGTTAATACGCGTATCAAGTGTTCCCATAAACAAGGTCAATAACCTCTAATATTAAATGTTTTGTGCAAATAAATGCAATCAAGTTAAACATTATATTCAATTAATTATAATTACGTTAATAAATATTTTGCAAACAAATTGATTTATCAAAGAACACTATACAGTTATTACACTTTAACGGAACTTCATACGCAACATGACGAAAAAACCTTTATTGTACTTCATCGTAAATTATAATCGATCGAAGTAAAATATATTTTACTTACTTCCAGGATTCTACAATATAATTTGATTTTCATTATTAAATTGCATTAATAAATTCTTATTTGTAACCATGGCTGCGTTCAGCAGACTCAATAGTTTTGCAACCGTTTTGTGATTCTTCGCTGAGATAGGACTATTCCTTTAAATCTAAAAGTATAATCCAATCAGTGCGATGAATCACAAAACGGTTGTAAAACTGCTGAGTTTACTGAACGCAGCCCATGTTTCACTTCCCGCGCTTTGTGTGCCTACTCGATCGAGAGACTTTCCACCTAGCAAAAGAGCAGGGTGCAAAAGTCTCCCGATCGGGAACATCCGACACGTTTCTGAACGGGCCACCTAGGTAACGATGAGATACTCTCAATTGGTTTCTGAACGGCATTCGGCAGCTTGGGTGCTCCCGAGTGTAGTAGGGAAAAGTGGACGAATTGTGCGCACCTAAGGGATATTTGTTTTTCTGGGATGGTTTTCTAAGTTCAAAACGATATAAATAGGGAAATAGAAACTATAAACATTCTCCTACTATTACGTATTCTTATATTGAACAGATTTTCATTCAATAAGGTTGTATTTGGCAAAAAGGAAAAAACGGAAAAGCAAAAAAATTTGTCACGCGTCGGGTAATTGTGCGCATGGGTTAGGGAATTGTGCGCAAAGCAAAAGTTG